GCGGCGCGCGCTCGGCCACACCAGGGCGCCGCTGCGGAGGGATGGGCCGGCGGGCGGGCGCGGAGCTCGGGGCGGGGCGGGGCTCTGGGAGGCTGGCGCTGATTGGGAGAGGCGCCTTGGGGGCGTGGCTAATGGGGGCGTGGCGTCAGGCAGTGGAGCTCTGGAGGGCCAGTCTTTGGACCAGCAAGGCTGGGTCCTTAGCGGGGCTGGACTCCAGGGGGCGAGGCCTTGGAGAGAGGCGTCGAAGAGGGGCGGAGCTTTGGGAGGCCGGGCGGGGCTCTGCAGGGCCAATCGCTGGCCCGGCCAGACGGGCTCTGGGGACTGCCCAAGGGATGGGCGGGGCTTCAGGTACTGGGCGGGGCTTTGAGGACATGGGCGGGGCGCAATGGGCGGGGCCTCGCCGCCCACTTAAGAGGTCAGGGCCCCTGCTAGAACTGCTGGAGACTGAGGAAAAAGGGGCGCAGATAAGCATGTGGGTATTCTTGGGGCCTACCAGAGCCTGCGACTGCACTCGCTCAGTAAATCCCACGCACACGCAAAGCTCTGTGAAGGGCAACCTGAAAGATGATCCCCACATCTGGACGCGGGGAGCGGGGCCCCTTAGACCACAGCCCCGTCCATCAAGCTTGCCTGGAGCCCTGGGCCCGCGGCGAACCGCGGACACCTGCGGGCTGTAACCCAGCTCCTCCGGACCCCTCTGGCGGGGACCCCTCAGGCGCGGTCGCACCTTCGAGAACAGCAGGGCCGCCTAGCCAGACCCGGCTTCAGAATACACAAGAAGGCCTCCAGGCCTCAGACCCGGGGCTCCCTCCCCGGCTCCACACACACCAAATACATGAGTTCCAACTCATGAACCTCAGTGCTTTCCTTCCCTTCTGTACAATGGGCCCAACGCTGTGCGCCCTGGACATCTTTACAGCGTAGACAGAACAAGATCAAATTATATTGCGCACCCTCCATTTATGGAAGCACTTTGTTTTCGATACTGGGGAGTGAACCCAGGGCCCTTACCCTGAGCACACCCCTTTTCCCCCCAGCCCTTTTTTTTTTTCTTTTTTTTTTCCTTTTCCCTGTCTTTTTTTCTGGTACCGGGAATCGAACTTACGACCTCGCGCTTGCCAGGCAGGCGCTGTGCCGCTAAGCTAAATCCCCAGCCCCTCCCAGCCCTTATTTATTTCTTAATTTTGAGTCTCAGTTACTAAGTCACCAAGTTGCCCAGTTTGGGCTTGAACTTGAGATCCTCCTGCCTTAGCCTCCAGAGTGCTGGGGTTACAGGCATGCGCCCCCACCATCCTGCTAAGAAACACTGTCCAGGAGCTAGGGAATTAGCTCACCCGCACAGCGCCTTCCTGGCAAGCAAAGGTCGTGAGTTCGATTCCCGGTACCGGAAAAAAAAAACAAAAATAACAAAAAAACAAAAAGAAACACTGTCCAGGGGAAGGTTGATCTGGTCGGACTTGGTCGGGCCATCTCTCTTGGGTGCCTGCTCCTCTTCCTCCGTTTGTCCTCTTCCCAGGCGTCCACCAGAGGGCGCCTCTCCCCTGAGACGTCCCACCCCTCCGCGCTCTGCCAAGCGGACTGTGCCTAGCTCGACCGCCGGCCGGGCCAGCCCTGCCCTCAGGATCGCCCGCCCCTGCCCTGTCGCCAAGGCGACGGGAAGCCATGACGTCACCCGGCGAAGCGTGTTGCAGTCTGCAGTCCGGGTTTCCCCACATCCACCGGTGGTCTTGACCGCAGAGGAGACAAAACCAAGACTCACACCCCCCGCTGACATCTGGGCCTGTATCCCGGAAGGGCACCAATGCCCCGCGTGGTCGGCACGAGCACACCCGCGTGCACGCGTGGGAGCACCGGAGGCCCGAGCCTCTCGCCTGTGCTCCTCACACCCCACCCTGGGAACTCTGCCCCTGGGAAGGTCAAGCAAGCCCTTCTCAGCTGGCGGGAGGGCGCGCGCCTGTCCTCCCAACACTCTAGGAAGTTGAGGCAGGAAGATCGCAAGGTGGAGCCCAGCCTGAGCAACACAGTAAGAGCTTGTCTCAAAATTAAAAAGGGCTGGGACGCAGCTCAGTGTGAAGGCCCTGGGGCTGGGGATTTAGCTCAGCGGCACAGCGCCTGCCTGGCAAGCGCAAGGTCGTGAGTTCGATTCCCGGTACCGGAAAACAAACAAACAAAAAATACCAGTGTGAAGGCCCTGAGTTCAATGCCTAGTATGGGGGTTGCGGGAGGTGGTGTCAGCTAGCCGCTTAGACCAAACCAGGGGTCCGGATCCGTCTCCCGCCCAGTTCCCCAGGCCCTGCCCCTTGGATTGCATTGGGGGCGGGGACGCTGGGCCGGGACGGGGTGGGGGCGGGACTGCGAGCCGTTTGACGCGGTGGTGTCCGGAGGCCTGGCGGGGCCGAGCTTGGCGCGGGGGCGGGGCCGAGTTTGACGCGGGGCGGGGCCGAGCTTTTGGC